GGTCACAGAGCTAACAGAAATGGTACATTCACCATTTTGAAATTGGAGAGAGGTGGAGCTAACATCCAGAGCAGACTTTTTCTCTGCAGCTCAGAGGCACAACTGATTAAGAGGCACAAACGTTTCTGCCATGTTGGACTGGGCAGGGCAAGCACACACTTCCTGTTTTTGACCTAGGAATGTCACAGTTTAGATTCTTAAGTGCTTAATGATTTAAAAGTGCAAAACAAAAATGTTCCTGGACAGTAAAAATGTTACAGGTAATGCAATAGGACAGATTCAGACATAAAAGACCTCTAAATGGGTCATAGTGTTATATAGACATACATATGTTTGGGAGAAAGAAAAAAAAGAATATAGAGAATAAAGTTAATGCTTTTAAAAAGGGGGGTAAAGTCTTAAAGAGACAGAGTACAGATACTTATAGATTAAAAGAAATAAAGAAAAATAAGCCCTGTAAAAATGGAAAATTCACAGAGAGTTTGTATTCTGTATATTGTACTTTCTTTTAATTTTTTGACCGTGAAGGAACTAAACACAGAGAGACATTTCCTTGTATGGGCTGCTAAGATGATCCACAATATACATCCTAAAGGTATTTTGACTTCAAAATTTGGGTCTAAGAATATGATGCATTGTAAAAAAGGTTCTTCTTTTGTTTTCACAGAGAATGAGACCCTGTGGATTGCTTCTATCCCAATATGGCATGATAGACCACATCCTCCTAAATGGTTGCTGTGAACTCTCTCAAAAAATTACTTTGCTCAAGTGCCAAATAAGGTGAACCTAGCACATAGGTTATACCATGAAAGGCCTAATTAACAGCTCCCCAATACAGGAGGAAGAAGTTTGGAGAGAAATAACTATGTCCATATGCCCAAATATTGTTTATAAATGTTCTTTTACGTTTAAAGGGGGATATGATATAGATATGAATAATTTACATTGATATAAATTTTGCTTTGTTGATATAAATTTAAAGTCAATTTTGTTATATGTATATGTATTTCTGATCTTGATTAAGGTTTTGTGATTGGGTAGTTCATTTAAAAATGTAAGGTATAATAAGGAAATACAGGTTGTTAATGGATAATCATCAATAATAGTCAAGTTTGTAAGACTATAGATATATAAATAGGCATTCTTCATATTTTTCGTAGACTACAGAATATGGCATTTTAGATGTTTTAATAACTTAGAGTTTTTCATGACATTGAGACATGTCAGCACCAATCTACTTCAAGAGGAAGATGGGCATTGAAGTGGCTTCTTATGGAGTTGGTTAGACATTTGGACAAGAAACTACTCTTTCCTGGACTGTTGCGTAAACTGGACATAAAGAACCCACAGAGAGAGGACTGCTGAACTTGCCTAAGGGGAGATGTTCCTTCGGGGTTCCTAGTTCATGAAAGAGTCTATGAGGCATTTTGCAGGACATAGAAAAAGTGACTGAACTGTCTTTGAAATTTCCTACTTAATGTATGTGTCTGATGGATATTATGGGCCTGTAGGCTGAAGATGGATGCCCCAAAGGTGCAGAAAATCTTTGAATGACTGTACAGGCAGCAAGATGTCTCTGTCATTTCTAGAGTTTTGGAAATTGCTTACTTCTTGTTTACTTAAGTAATAGTATATACTTCTGGAGTCTTTGATGGAGTTGAAGAATGGATAGATAATTATAATTTTCCTTAGTTATGACAAAGGATAAAGTAGATTTAAATATTGTAAATGTAATTCTTGCATGATAACTGTTTTGTCATGCGTAATTTACTATGTTAAATTTAAAGCCTTCTTTTTTGTTTAAACAGACAAAAGGGAAATGGTGTAGGAGGGTCGTCTGTCTATAAGATATGGACTTGTTTTTAGATAAATACCATATTCCAAAATTAAATGAAGAACAGGTGAACAATTTAAATAGACTTATAAGTTGCGAGGAAATAGAAGCTTTTATCAAAAACTTCCCAACCAAAAAAGTCCAGGACCAGATGGTTTTAATGCAGATTTCTACTAGAACTTTCAAGAAGAACTAATATCAATACACCTTAATGTGTTCCACAAAATAGAAACAGAAAAGTCATTGCCAAAATCTTTCTACGTACCTACAGTTACCCTGAAACCAAAACCACACAAAGACCCAACCAAGATAAAGAATTAAAGACCAATCTTGCTCATGAACATTGATGAAAAAAGTTCTCAATAAAATACTAGAAATCTGAATCCGAGAACACATCAAAAAAATCCATTATGATCAAATAAGCTTCATCCCAGAGATGCAGGGCTGATTCAACATATAAAAATCTATCAATGTAATAATATAAATAATCATATAAATAAACTGAAAGAAAAAAAATATTTGATCATTTCATAAAATGCTGAAAAAGCATTTAACAAAATTCAACACCCCTTTATGATAAAGGTCTTAGAGAGTTTAGGGATACAAGGATCATATCTAATTATAATAAAAGCAATATACAACAAACCTAAAGCAAATATCAAATTAAATGGAGGGAAACTCAAAGCCATTCCGCTAAAATCTGGAACAAGACAAGGCTGTCCACTCTCACTATATCTCTTCAACATAGTGCTTGAAATTCTAGCAATAGCATTAAGACAATATAAGGAGTTCAAGGGGATTTGAACAGTAAAGGAAGAAGTCAAACTTTTGTTATTTGCAGATGATACATTTGTGTACATCATTGACCCCCAAAACTCTTCCAAAGAACTCCAACAGCTTATAAACCTTCTGCAATGTGGCAGGATACAAGATTAACTCAAATAAACCAGAAGTCCTTCTATACACAAAGGATAAAGTAGCAGAGAGGGAAATCAGAGAAACTTCAACTTTCACGATAACCACAAATAGCATAAAGTATCTTGGGGTAACTTTAATCAAGAAAGTGAAAGATCTATTTGACAAGAACTTTAAGGCTTTGAAGAAAGAAATTGAAGAGGACACCAGAAATGGAAGGACCTCCCATGGTCTTTGATGGGTAGGATCAACATAGTAAAAATGGTAGTTCGACCAAAGGCAATCTATAAATTCAGCACAATCCCTACAAAAATCCCAACAAAATTCTTCACAGAGCTCAAGAGAAGAATAATCAATTTATGTGGAAAAACAACAACAACAAAAAAAACAGGATTGCAAAAACAATCATATACAATAAAGGAACTTCTGGAGGCATTACCATCCCTGATTTCAAACTCTATTACAGAGCTACAGTAATGAAAATAGCTTAGTAGTGGCTTAAAAACAGAGATGTCAACCAATGGAATATAATCGAAGACCCAGATATTCATGCACAAACTTATGAACACCTGATTTTTGTCAAAGGAGCTAAAAGTACACAAAGAAAGAAAGAAAGCATCTTCATTATATGGTGCAGGCATAACTGGATATCAACCTGTAAAAGAATAAAAATAGATCCATATCTATCACCATGCACAAAACTCAAGTGCAAATGGATTAAAGACCTAAAAATAAATCTGACCACACTGAATCTGACAGAAGAGAAAGTGGAAAGTAGACTACAACACATGAGCTCAGGAGACCACTTCCTATGCATAACCCCGGTAGCACAGAAAATAAGAACTACAGTGGATAAATGGGACCTTCTAAAACTGAGAAGCTTCTGTAAAGCAAAGAATACTGTCATTAAGACAAAAAGGCATCCTACTGAATGAGAGAAGATTTTCACCAACCCCACATCAGACAAAGGTCTGATCTCCAAAATATATAAAGAACTCAGGAAACTGGATATGAAAATTCAAATTAACCCAATTAAAAAATGGAGTACTGAGCTGAAAAAAAAAATTCTCATCAGATGAAACTCAAATTGCCAAAAGGTCAACCTCCTTAGCAATCAGGGAAATGCAATTAAAACAACCATGAGACACCACTACACCTGTCAGTACGACCACAATCAAAAACACCAATGTTAGCCTATGCTGGAGATGATGTGAAGTAACGGGAACACTCATCCATTGTTGGTGGGAATGCAAACTTGTGTAACCACTTTGGAAATCAGTGTGGTATTTTCTTAGGAAATTGGGAATCAGTCTACCTCAGGATCCAGCAATATCACTCTTGGGTATATACCCAAGAGATGCCCAATCATACTACAAAAGCATTTGTTCAACTATGTTCATAGCAGCATTATGTGTAATAGCCAGAACTAGGAAACAACCTAGATGCCCCTCAATGGAATAATGAATAAAGAAAGTGTAGAATACATACACATTTGAGTACTTCTCAGTGGTAAAAAAAAAAAAGAAAAAAAATTGACATCTTGAATTTTGCATGCAAATAGATGGAAATAGAAAACGCTATCCTGAGTGAGATACCCAGACCCTAAAAGATGAATATGGTATGTACTCACTTATTAGTGAACTCTAACCATAAACAAAAGACATTAAGCCTATAGTTCGCAAGCCTAGAGAAGCCAAATAACAAGGAGAACCCAAAGAAAATCCTATGTAGATCCTCTTGGAAATTGGAAGCAAATATGATTTCTGGGGAAAAGTTGGGAGCATGGGGGTGTGAGTAGGGGTGTCCCTGGGGTTGGGACAAGGAGAGAGGAGGAGAAAGAAGGGAGAAAGGAAAGACTGTAGAGAGCTTGGGGGAGTGGGAGGATGGAGACAGAGGAAGGGCGGATATAGGAGGAGGGAAGAAGATATTTACATTAAGGGAGCCATTTTAGGGTTGGCAAGAGACTTGGCTCTAGAGGGGATCCCAGGTGTCCACTGGGATGTCCCCAGCTAGGTTCTTGGTCAGCAGAATAGAGGGTGTCTGAACTCGCCTTGCCTCACTATCACACTGATGATTATCTCAAATATCACCATATTGTCTTTTCTAGCGTTGGATGGAGATAGAGACAAAGTCCCTCATTGCAGCAATGGACTGAGCCCCTAAGGTCAAGTTGAAGAGCAGAATGAGGGAGAAGATCAGCAAGGAAGTCTGGACCCCTAGGGGTTGGTCCACCCAGTGAGACAGTGGGTGGTAATGGGAGCTCACCAAATCCAGCTAGACCGGTACTGAATGAGCATGCGATCAAATCGGACTGTCTGAATGTGGCTGACCATTGGGGGCTGACAGAGAAACCTTTGGTAAAGGCACTGGGACTTGCTTCTACTGCATATTTAGTCTATTTGGATGCAAAGCTTCCTAGGTCTGAATGTAGGGGGAGGGCCTTGGACTTCCCAGAGGGCAGGGTTCTCTGCTCTCTCTTAAGGAGGGAGTAGGAGGGAGGAGAATGAGTGCGGGAGCAGGAGGGGAATGGAAGCAGGGGAGGAAGTGTAAATTTTTGAATGGAAAAACTAACTAAATAAATAAATAAGATCCCATACTGTTCTACCAGACCCTTTAGCAGAAGCTCATGATGAAATAAATTAGATATTAATAGGAAATTTGCTAAAAGTATATCGAACACCCGTAGAAAGAAACCCAAGTAGTACTCAAATAAATGAAATTTGCCTAAAAAGTGTTTCATTTTGCAGAGCTTGGAAAATTACAATATATTCACTATATAATAGATATATATTAAGAATTTTAATAGACTACTGTTTTGGGTTTTAGAAAGGCTGATTCTGTGATTTTACATTAATAATTAGTTATGGCCTTTTTGGTAATAAATGAACAAATTAGGACTGATACTATTTTAGCACATGTTTCAAATAAAATAGAAGAGTTTTTTTTTAATTTCTCTTTACATATTGCAGCATAAGGATTAGTATTGGTATACCACACATCCCAAGAGGAAAATTAGTTAGAAAATAATCTAATCTTATCATACTTTAAAAATATGCTTAATAAGAAAAAAGGCATAATAAAATTCCCCAGAAATATAGTACATAATTATTTGTTAACTTTGAAATTTTAATACTAACAAAAAAGAAATAAAAGCTTTAGAGAGATATTCAACACTAGAAAAAACTATAGAATTAAATCAACCTATAAACTTTAATATTGTGTTGACTTCAGAATGGAAATCAAGGTATGTGTTTTGTTAGTGAAGGTTTTGCTTTTGTTTCCACAGGAGAAGAAAAGCCATGGACACCATCAAGACTGATAAGGATTAAATTAGAATGAGAGAGACCTCCAGATTAAGAGATGTGAAAATTTACCAAACACATGGCCATTCAACACAACCTAACTTATAAGACCAACAAATTTCTTTTATTTAATAAGATATAACCCATCATAAAGGAAACTCCCTAGAATTAGAGATGAAGCAGAGTTTTGATTTTGTCCTTCCAGGAAAGTAAAAATATCCAACTATTAAATGAGATATTAAAATAAGAAAGATAAATCACAAAGAGAATATTTTCCAAGAAAAAGAGTAAATTGACCTAGTAGTATAATACATTTTCACAACAAAAAAAATTGATAAATCTTCTCAGTTGTTGCTTCTGCTGGTATCTACAGTTGTGTGAGGAAAATGGACTACTTTTATACACAATTGAAATAAAATTTAAAGCTGGTTTTTTAATTGCAATATTATTGCCTTCTCTCAACCCAAGCATGCTTATTAAAGGAAAATCCAAAAGCTCTGTCTCATGTCAAAAGGGCGACTTCATATCTTACAGAAGAAAATCAATATTGAGGAACTATTTTACAGTCACAAATGTCCTTATTGCTTCATTGCATTTTTACATTTTAAACATCTCTAAGGGTACAAATATTATATCAAAATTTATATGTCAGTATATATGTCTCTATGTATATATGTACAGACACATATCTACAAATTTGCATTAGTTAAGCATTCTGTCATGATATTAATTGTCATATAGAGTACGAAAAATTATAGAAATAGGCTTTGAAGTGGTGCTGTGTCATGCACTATGGCAGTTAGGATTTCAGAGACGCCCTCCACATTTCCATCACACTTTCAAAGGAAAACAGGCAGCAATCCAAGACTTCTCCATTATCTCAACACTCAATGGTCCTCTAAAGTTACTGTCAACCCCAGAGAACAAGAAGTAATTTTAAGAACACAAAGTCTACATTCCCTAGTGTTTGGGTGGTTAGTTACTGGTCATTTCATGGGTTATGAATGTTTGTCATTTTTTAGGGGATTGGTTGCAAGTTGGTTCTAGTCATGATCAGGATATTTTAAATTCAGGGATATCTTTCAGATTTGGAAATATGAAGACTATAGGATGTTGAGATAAAAGTGCAAATCATTGAATGTAATTTTAAACAAAATAAACCACCTAAATCTCAAATAATGTTCAGTATAATATATTTTTGTATATTGATACAAATTTAAGATTTACTTGTTGTACTGTATACATGTTTCTGGTCCTGTTTAAGGTATTTTTTGTATATTTATACAAATTTAATGTTACTTTTTGTTAGAACCTGATTTATCCATTTCTATTTATGTTTAAAGTGGTCCCTTTAAAAAATATTTCAAAGTTCTAATCCTATTTTGGATAATAAGAAATGCAGGTAAGTAGTGAGTCATCTAAAACAATACCATTTGCTGCCATCTTAGGTATGTTTTCAAGGTCATTCAGAGATATAATTTAGATTTATAGATTGCTAAACATTTCAGAGACATACAGCATAAGGCATTTGAGATGTTTTAATAACCTAAATCTTTTCATGATAGTGAAACCCATCTCCTCTTGGCAGTACCAGTTTACTTCAAAAACAATGGTAGGCATAAATAATATCCACATGGAGTTTCCTTTTAATGCAACAAAATTAACTACTGAGTAAGAAACTATCCTCCCCTGGACTTCTGACAGTATACTGTCCAGAAGAGACAAGTAGTACACAAAAGAATGCAAATTCCAAAGTTCAAAAAGACAAGATAGAACAATCTTCAAAATTCCTGCTTCATAGAAAAGTTTCTAAGATATACTATGCCTATAAATAGAAGATGGATGCTCCAGTGTCACAGAGAAAACAAGGGTGACTAGGAAGCCTGCTTATTTGTCATTTCTTTATTTTGGGAAGCTGTTTGTTCTGCACTTCCTATCACACAGGTAATATTATATCATTCTTGGGTCTCTTATGGGGTTGAACAATAGATATAGTTTTACAGTTTTCCCTGTTACCAAATAAGAACAAAAAAACATTTATAAGATAGATGTAAATTATATAAGGCTGAGATAAACAAAAGTTTAAGTTATTTATCTAAGAAAATATCTTAAGCTCTAAAAAGGTAATTTTTGTTTAGTAAAACAAGTTATTTTACAAAATATGTTAGATTCAAAACATTGTACTCACCAATATAGGATAGATAATGGAGTATTTTCTCTAGTTTGCCAAATAAAATTGACTGTACCTTGTGAATGTAGTTCTTACTTGATAATTGCTTCTATTTTATATAGTTTTACTTTGTTAATATTAATACCTTTCACTTGTATTTAGACAATACCTAATAATTATTCTTATTGTATATAGTTTTATTATGTTAGAGTTAAAACCTTTCCTTTTACTTAGACAAAAATGGGTAAATGTGTGATATTTGTTTTCACTGGCACTCAGGAATTCTGGTAAAATTGAGTCTTGAATCAGAGGGTGCAATCAGCAATTGCCTCATAGGAACTAACTATAGATATATTGGAGAACAACGGGATTTGTAAAGAGAGAGAAAAAGAGGGGCTTAGAGAGATTTTGCAGGCTTTCTCAATCTGGGAAACAAGGAGAGTAGGATTAACTGATAGTTCCTCCACTGTTCTATGAAAACACTAATGAATAGAGAACACAATAAACAGATATTTTTAAATACTCAAAATACAAAGCAATTTTCATATGAAATATTCTGGAATTTAAACAAGATTCATTGAAGGCTAGAAGAGTGAAATATTAGATCCTATATAAAGTCTTTTATAATTTTTGGAGAATTTTATGCAATGTATTCCAATCATTCACATCTCTTTTGTTACTCATCCTGAATCCATTCTTGTCCCACACTATCGTCTCGCCAGCAAGAACCACGCGGGACACTAGGATCCTTCTGCAGAGAAGCTTTAATGCATCTTGAGAGAGAGAGCATAAGCTAACATGACGGAGACCCAGGACGATGGGAACCCAGCCCTTATATACGAAACAGCCCTCGCTTCGGACGTGTCACCCTTGGATTGGCCCGCTGCCCATTATCCCAGAGGATGTCTGGGAGTAGGCAGGTACGCAGTAGTGGAAAGTTACCAAGCACGTGTGCGTTACCTAGTTTACCTGGCGGTAGAACCGGATGCCAGCGCCATCTTGTAATGGAGTATGTGGTTGCGGTCCTCTACACATTCTCTATCCCTGTTTTTCCTACTTTGTGTTCTCGGTTGTGATTATATTCACTAAGTATAATTATACTCTTTGTTATGTACCTACCCACTGAAAAATAGTTGAATTACCAAGGGGCCATACCCTGAAACCAAGGATTTTGTTATTTATGTAGTAACAGCCTTCTTTATGATAGATGATCCATTTTCTAAATGTTAGACACCCTTTCAAAGAATTCGTCAATAGGCCAATTTACGAATACAGAATAGGAAATATTCTGTAATGGGAATCTTAAGAGTTCAGTAATTAAGAATCCCTATCAAAATTAAAATAAACACACAACAATAAGCATAAGGACCTAAAATACGAGGGATAAAAAAATCTAAGCATGATCTATCTATCCATGTTTTTTTTTTATTTTTCTTTTCTTTATTCTTATTCCTTATTTTTTGTTTAGCTAACATTCCCAATAATACATATCCTCATAACCAGCAATTCCCTAAACCTTGCAGATTACAGGGCTAGAAAGCCTTTCCCCCATCGGAACAGATAAGCATTTTCACAAAGACACAGATCTGTGGTCTTCAGCTCAAAAGTGGGAGTGGTCTAGTACATACCTGGTGAACTACTTAAGGAAGAAAGTTAGTTAAGAAGGGAATTAAATAATCAAGGAAATCTGGAGGGGATAGCTAGTGTGCTATCCTATATTATAGGTGGCTAGATAAAGTACTAAAATGTTTATTTCAGTAAAATTATAAATAGGTCATGGATTGTTTTTACATCAGCACACTGCTTTTTTTTCTCCTGGCATCCATAGAGGATATCAGGTAATCAGGAAATCTATGTAAACAGTTAGGGGCAAGCTATTGGCTCTCATTGTGATAACCCATTCAACATACACTGCAGTTTCAATGGGCCTAAGACTGGGATTTGCAATTATTGCTCCAAGCCATAGAAACAAAAAAAGAGACCCAAGCCTCTAAATTATCATCAGTTCCATGTTATGCTGTTTTCAGCCATTCTGATTATGGGCATTGTGGTTCTGTGTCACCAGCAAGAAGAAATCTTTTCTCTGGATTGCAGTTAATTACCTGTTTTCCTATCCTTGATAGTAAAGCATAAGAAGTAAGTATCCTTAACTAAAATCATTAGTAAACTGAGGTGAAGGTGAGATTAAGAAGTTATAAATCTTTTAAGTGAGGGAAAACCAGGGCATGCTTATTCTTCTATCTATCTGAGCACCTATGAATCAGCAGCTTTTGGCAATTAGTAATTCTTTGTCCGGGATACCTGTGGTTATCTTAAATGTAATGCTTTTGCCTGAACCTTAAACACAGACCAAATAATTATAAAGATAATTAAAGGAAGGGAGACCTCTGCCTTTACTTAGGAGAAAGGAATGAATGCCTGGCAGTGAGAAACTGTTTTCACACATGCCTAGGGATTGTGATCAGTAAACCCCCAAAGCAAATGAGATGGTTCTGAACTGTGGTAATTAATTCCCAAATATGTAACAGAAGGGAATTCAGCTGTAGTGAAAATATGCAGCAAAGGACAGTCACTTTATACACTAATAAATATTGCAAAAGTCCTATCTTTTGGGATAAACCCTTCACCAAAGTCTTCTGGCTCTGATGAGTAGCTTGAAAAAAGATGGCTGAGTAATTACTGAAAATGTTGCAGTTCTTAATAATACTATGATTGCTTTATGAGCTAGTGATACTACATAATGGTTTCAACGGACTTTCTGAATGCTGACTGTTGACAAAGTTCCTGTTGCCATTTGGATGCTGAATAAACAGATCACCAGGCCTCATAACATACATAAATACATGTAGGTACAAATACACACACACAAACAAACACACACACCACAGACAGAAATTTATCAGTTTTAAATCTGTCCTTTCTTTGAGAAATTGTTGCCCTAGGCACACACTACTGCATTTTAAAGTGCTCCTGTTACTTAACGGTAGCCATAAAATTCCCAAATTGAGTGAGGTAACCCAGACCCAGAAAGACAATTATCACATGTACTTACTCAGAAGTGGCTTTGAAACATAAACCAAAGAAAACCAATCCACAAACCAAGAACCCAGAGAACCTAGACAACAATGAGGACCCTACAAAAGGCATATATAGATTTAATCTATGTTGGAAGAAGAAAAAGACATCTCCTGAGTAAATTGGGAGCATTGGGACCTTGGGAGAGGGTTGAAGGGAAGGGAGAGGTAGGAAAGGGGGCATAG